GTTTGGATCTGGAATAGAGGAAATAGGCAGAGAATAGACAGAGAGCGGTTATGGTACCGTCTTGAAAAACGGGTTGAAGTGCCAGCATCATTGTTTTTGTTTTCGACTCCCTTTCCTCAAATGAGAGCTTTTCAAAAAGCCTAGTATTGTATATGAGAAGGCGGGGGCCAAAAGAGAAAAAAAAACAAGTGTGACGTTCGAGAAACACTGACCCGAGACCTAAAAACGTCTTGAAGCTCTCAGAGACCCAGAAAGACGTGTCCAGCAACGACGACGACGACAACGACGCAACACGCGTTCAATACGTGCTGTATACGTCGATTTCGTGCGATGATGGGAAAGAATCAGATACTAAAAGTTACTACCGGTAACAATGATCTCCGTGGACAGTGTCTAGGCCGCCCCATGGTCGAGAACTCGTGCTTTCCGAGTCCATCTCTTGAATTCTCTTGTTGTTGTTCCTTGGTCGAAGATATAAAGGATTTGGATCAGTCCAAAAGTGTTCGATATATATATGATGTAGATATGTCATTTAGGGTATTATGCGCTGATTCCACTAGTACTTATAAGTACTCAAGAACATGCACCATGGCTATATATAGTTCTCAGTACACTTATAGTAGTAATCCATCAATGAAGCAACACTACTGCCTGTTGAAGGGACAGATTCCAATTCCTCCTTATAAATAAATACTTTCACAAAAACAAGAAAAAAAAAAGCTTGAAAGTTTTTATGTACACAACATAACACACACACATCCACCTCTCTTCGACTCATCCATTTAACATCGAGAAATTCCCCAAATAAAAAGAAATTGGAAGTCTTTTAATCCGCCTTCTTATCCCCAGGCTTCTGTCCAGACAACTTGTTATACCTGTCCGCGAGCCTGTCATATTCCGCCGCTTGCGAAGCAGCCTGGTTCTTAAGCGTATCGAAATCCCTACCCTTCTTCTTCAATTCAGCGATCTCCTTGTCTTTCGAGGCAATTATCTTGTCTTTGTCTGTTCGATGATAGAGGGGAGGAAAAAGCAAAGAAAAAAAAGAGTCGCATGAGCGAAATTGGACACAGGTTTAGGTTTAGATGGGTTGGAACATACCGGCACCTGAACCCTTGGTCTCAGATCCAGCGCTGCCGCTTTTGAGTTTAGCGTATTCCTCTTGGACGTGGATGAGGTCGAGAGTTATATAGAAGGTGCGGGTGAGGAC